GACAGTATTGAGTCTTATGGAGAAGCTGTTAAAGGCATTTAGATCCAGAATAAATCCTTTAGAACGATAAAGATCAATAAAACAAAACCAGATAACTATTGTTTATCTTCAATATTGCAATTGTAGATTTTTAATAACTACTAAAAACTACTGAAAATAAACCTAAACACAACAAAAAGAAGCTCCAACAGACAATTATTCTGATAATAATTTGTTGCCCTGGGTTACGCCTCTCAGGCTGCATCCTCTCATAGGCAGCGGCGGATCCAGAGAAATATGAACGGGGTGTCAGAAATATCTGCTCATTTAATCACAAATAATCAATATTTGGTTAGAAGCCCCCAAATGAAGATTATTAAAGCAGAGAACAGAAATCTGTAAATAGAGATCAATACACGTCTTTATTTATTGAATGTCAGCCGATAACTGAGTCCAAACAGAACAGATCATTACATTAATTTATTATTATTTATTCCTCACTGTAAGAAAGGTCTGTAGATTTTACAGTAAAAGACCGTAAATACATTTTCTATTAATATCAGGTCACATCTTACCAGCATTCATACTCTATTTTCATATTTCAAACTTTATTTATACAGTAAAATACGGAATAAAACTCAACAGTAATAATATCCTTTTACCGTACTAGTAGAAAGGTTTTATCTGATTTATCACGGTTAATAAATAAATAAAGTTCTGGCGAGCACTGCTGCTGCACCCTTTAAAATCTGGATTAATGAAACAAGGACTCACATTTATACACTGGTGTTTATACATACAATTTGTGTTAAATGAAGCTAAAAATCATCCTGGCCGTTCAAATTAATACAAAAACCATGAAAATAATGTGTTTAGCTTTCAGTAGGACGACTTTATACAGACGACTGCAGACAAAACTCAGGGTTGAAAAATAATGATGGTAATAAATAATGTTCAATAATACTGCAACTTATTATTATTAGTATTGTTTTTACAGTTTCTAACATTTGGTGGTGTTTTCAGGACATGTCTCGGTCCTCCCTGGCGGAGCTGCTCCTGTCGGACCTCCTGCAGGTGGAGAACGAGGCTCTGGAGGAGGAGAACTTCCCTCTGGCTGAAGGAGAACCCGAAGACATCCACATGGATCTGGAACGGGCCGCCGGCAGCGGGCCGCTGCTCGCCCCCCGAGAGAGGAAAGCCGGCTGCAAGAACTTCTTCTGGAAGACCTTCACCTCCTGCTGAGAACCTCCTCATCCTCCCTCCTCTTCATCACTCACTGTACAGACGGATCCTGAGTAGTTTGGACGAACTGTGTAGATTTTTCTGGGCTGATTCTTTCTGAATGTAAAACTTGATGAAACTATTTTTAATTGTCGGTTTGAATAAAATCTGTTTGAGACAAACGCTCCGTCCTTTCTGCTGCGTGAGGAGGAGGAGGAGAGGAGGAGAGGAAATAAAAATCTTCATCAGGATGAAGAGCTGCAGGCTTTTATTGGAGCTGATTAAAGTGAGAGCTGCACATTAACAGCTGAGAGGAGGCTGAGCAGTGAAACATCGGTTAATGAAGGTTAATGAACACACAGCAACGCCATAGCAACCAGATCAGATCAATACAATCTCACTTTATTGACGCCCAGAGGATAAAAGATATTTCAATTTTATTTATAATAACTTACAGAGCATTTTATTGCTTTTATCTTCAATATTTCAATTGTTTTCTAGATTCTTTAAAATATTTCTCATATTTTCAGAGTAAAACAGAAAATGGACACAAAACAACATAAAGAAGCTACAATACTAATAATTAGTTTAACTGAACTTATTAATATGTCTTCAAAAGCAGATTTACAAATGTAATTGTCGACTTCCTCCTCAGATCGTTATTTAGTTTATTTGCCCTGAGTATTGCCTGCAGGCGTAACTCAGGGCTTGTTTTTTTTTTTTTTTTTNNAATACTGAACAAAAGAATATGTGGCAGAAAACCAAAGAAAAATAAAAATTTTAACTGTTAGTTGATTCAGAAAAAGTTTAAACTGTGAAGAAAAGGACGTATTTCTATTGTATATTTACAGGAAATTGATTTATTTTACCTTTATTTT